TAAATTGAAAAAACTCCCTATCCCTCGGAAAAAAGAGGTGTGACACTTGGCACTCAGAATCACTGAAGGTTCTGATCTAGAGGATGATGAAATGGCTATGATCACCAAGGACTTCAAGAAGTACCTGAGAAGAGGAAAATGTTCTTCAAGAAATGGAAGCTATAGCAAGTCAAAAGCTCATGAAAAGAAAACCAATGACACTGCTACAAGTGTGGAAAGACTGATCACCACATCAAGAATTGTCTTTTATGGGAAATCGAATGGAAGAAGGAAAGAGCTGAACGAAGGAAGATGAAGAAGGAACATGTTCAACCCAATAAAAGCAACACCAAAGGATCAACCAAGGCTATGGTCGCTGCTTGGGGGAGAAAGATCAGATGAAAGCTCAGATGATAATGATAAGGATGAACGAGCACTTATGGCCATTGGAGAATCTGATGAAAAAACTGAGGTAAGTGTAATTCATCTCAATGACAAGATTAAATTATTTTCTAAAGAAAGGTTATCTGAGTTACTTCTAGAACTAATTGATGAATCTGAGGATGTAAACAATGAAAAGGAGCAGTTGTCTAAAGAATGTGTGATTTTGAAGGCTAAGTGTAAAAACTTAAAACTTAGGGCTAGTGAAACTGTAAGTGAAAATACTGTGTTGAAGATCCAGGTTCATGCACTTGACTCAACTGTCCTAGAGTTTAGATCTGAAAATCTAAAACTGAAATTAGGAATAGGTAAAAAGATAACTGATCACAGATAACTCAATCTAGAAGAAAATGTAAGGAAAAATGAAAGATGAGTTGTGTAAAAGGGATGGGCAGGTAAGAATCCTAAAGGAGGATCTAAGCAAGGTCAAGCATGAGCTAGACAGAACTTGTAAATGGAACAGGTCCTCCGATGCACTTTCATGGCTACAAGAACACCATAGTAGTAACAGAAGAGGACTTGGCTTTGAGAACCTGGCACCTAAGTGGAATCCTAAAAGAAAGTACCTCACACTTTCTGAGAATATGATTTGCACACACTGTGGTAAAACAGGTCACTATAAAAGTGAATGCATTGCAAAAGAAAAGGCAAGTCAATTGAACAAAGAATTTGTTCAAGGGAAGAATAGGCTACCGAGTTAGGCTAAAAAGAATTTGATTCATTATTTTGCCTATATAAAGGGACCCAAACTAGTTTGGGTTCCTAAGACTAACCCCTGATTTCCTTTTGCAGGTCTAAGTGAAGGGGAAAAGCTAAATATGGTACATGGATAGTGGCTGCTCAAAGCACATGACAGGAAGCAAGAACCAGTTCCTTTCACTTGAGGAATTTAAAGGAGGTAATATTTCCTTTGGAAATGGGAAGAATGGTGAGATCATTGGGGTTAGAAAAGTAGGTAAGACTGATTCTCATTCTATTGATTACGTCTACTTGATAGATGGACTAAAATACAGTCTAATAAGTGTATCACAATTGTATGATAGAGGTAACATAGTAGCATTCACCTCTACAAAATACTTTATGATTAATCTTACCACTATCAAGATAGTTTTGCAGGAAAAACGAGTGAACAAAATACACGTTGTAGATCTGTCCACACTTTCAGATAATAAACTCACTTGCTTAAGTGTGTTGGATAATGATCCCCTCCTTCGGCACAAAAGACTTGAACATGCCAGTCTAAGTCAACTTAACAAAGTAGTCTCCAAGGACTTGGTGATAGGGCTGCCTAACATTAAGTTCAAGGAAGATAAAGTTTGTGAGGCTTGTGCGAGGGAGAAGCAGGTAAGATCCTCTTTCAAAAGTAAGAAAGTGGTAAGCACCATCAGGACGATGGAACTGGTCCATATGTTGACAATGAGAACATTGAGCAGAGGTGGTAAGAGATATGTGATGGTGCTTATTGATGATTACTCTAGTTTTACTTGGACATTTTTTTTAACATCTAAAGATGAAGCATTTGACATGTTCACTTCTTTTGTTAGAAAAACTCAAAAATAACTAGGTAATCAACTTGCATCAATTAGGTCTAATCATGGTACTGAATTTGAGAATGCTAAATTTGCTGAATTTTGTGATGAGCATGGCATAAATCATAATTTTTATGCTCCTAGGACTCCACAACAAAATGGAGTAGTTGAAAAAAAGAATCGGATATTGGAAGAAATGGCTAGGTATATGCTTCTTTCTAGTAAACTGCCCCATAGTTTCTGGGCAGAAGCTGTGAACACTGTATATTACATCATAAATAGGTGCATGACTAGACCTCTTGTTGAGAAGACTCCCTATGAGTTACTTAAAGGGAGAAAGCCAAATATATCCCATCTTAGGGCATTTGGATGCAAGTACTTTATGCACAATAATGGTAAAGACTCCCTAGGTAAGTTTGATACCAAAAGTGATGAGGGAGTATTCTTGGGATATTCTTCACATAGTAAAGCTTATGAGATTTATAACAAAAGAACTATGTGTGTTGAAGAAAGTGTACATATGGTTTTTGATGAAACTAATATTCTTTCTGAGAGGGGGAACATGTCCTTCCACCCAGGGCAACTTGACAGGGGGAACTGAACAAAAAGGAACTGATCCTCAAACCCCGAGGGAACCTATCCATGAACCTGTTCCTCATCAACAAAACATTGAAGGAATATCTAGGGGAAACTAGCTGGTTGTGAAACCTTACAAGTATAAAAGTTCTCATCCCAGTGAGAACATAATTACTGACCCAACCTCTAGAATCAAAATCAGATCTTCTTTGATGAATCTTTGTGCTTTTGATGCTTTTTATCTCTTATTGAACCTAAAAATGTTGCTGAGGCTGTACATGATGCAGACTCGATAAATGCAATGGAAGATGAACTCAACCAATTTGAGAGAAGTCAAGTTTGGCATTTGGTACCAAGACCCAAGGACAGATCAGTAATTGGCATAAAATGGGTCTTCAGAAACAAACTTGACGAAGATGGAACCGTTACAAGGAACAAAGAAAGACTGGTGGTTCAAGGTTATAGTCAAGAGGAGGGCATAGACTATGATGGGACCTTTGCCCCAGTTGCAAGATTGGAGGCAATTAGACTCCTTATAGCCTTTGCTGCTTATATGGAATTCACTCTCCATCAGATGGATGTCAAGAGTGCTTTCCTCAATGGCTATCTAAAGGAATAAGTGTTTGTCAAGCAACCTCCGGGCTTTGAAAGCAAGAAATGTCCTGATCATGTGTACAAGCCTGACAAGGTACTTTATGGGCTCAAGCAGGCTCCAAGAGCATGGTATGAAATATTATCAAAATTCTTTCTTGAGCATGGCTACAAGAGAGGTAAAATTGATAATACTTTATTCTTGAAAGAAAAAGGTAAAGATCTCTTGGTAGTTCAGATATACGTTGATGATATAATTTGTGGAGCAACTACTGATAAGTAAGTAAATAATTTGCTAAACTAATGGGGAGTGAATTTGAAATGAGTATGATGGTTGAGCTTAATTTCTTTTTAGGCTTACAAATTAAACAAAATTCAGAACTATGATCTATCAGCAGAAGTATGTGAAAGAGTTTCTTAAAAGGATTGAAATGGAAGATTCCAAAGAAATTGACACTCCTATTGCAATAGCCACAAAATTGGATGTAGATGAACCTGGTTCATCCGTTGATCAGAAGTTGTATAGGGGAATGATGAGCTCTTTGTTATATCTCACTGCTAGCAGACCTGGCATTGTTTTCAGTATAGGCCTTTGTGCTAGATTTCAGGCAAATCCAAAGGAGTCTCACTTGACTATTGTCAAAAGGATCTTGAGATACCTAAAAGGCACAACTGACCTTTGTCTATGGTATCCAAAATGTAGTAATTTCAACTTAGTGGGATATGCTGATGCCGATTATGTAGGTTTTCTTGTGGATAGAAAGAGCACCTCAAGTATGGCACACTTTCTTGGCTCATGTCTTGTGTCTTGGGCCACCAAAAAGTAAAATTCTGTGGCCTTATCTACTGCTGAAGCTGAGTATGTTGATGCTGCCTCATGTTGTGCTCAATTGTTGTAGATCAAACATCAATTAACGGACTTTGGAATTGATGTAGGTTGTATCCCCATCTTTTGTGAATACACCAGTGCAATTAGTACGACCAAGAACCCGGTTCATCATAAAAGAACTACACACATTGATGTTAGGCATCATTTTTTGAGGGAAAACTATGAAAAGGGTTTGATCACTGTAGAATTTTGTGCTACTGACAAGCAAATAACTAAAAGCTTCACAAAAGCTCTAAGTAGAGATCACTTTGAAATGAACAGGCTACAATTAGGGATGATTAAGATCACCTAAAAGGAATCAGTTCTAACTCAAAAAATTGGTTATAAAATCTGTAAATTTTTGTACATAATTAGATTAGATTTTGCTCAGTCTCATGCTTTCATCAGTATACTCCTGTTCCATGTGCTAAAATGTCTCATTAATCTCTAATGATATTATCTTTATTTTCTTGGAAAATTCAGACTTACACAGGAGATTTCTCAATGAAGAACCTGATTCATCTAGATTACATGGTACGTACTCTCCGCTCCGCATATTGTGAAATAATTATATTTGGATTATGATCAAAAGGAGAGTCCCATTTAATCCTAACCTCCTTGAGCTTATCCGTTATGAAATGAACAGTTTCATCCAAAAAGAGTCCCAAAAAACGCAATAAGTGCCTAGATTCTGGGAAGTGTCTTAAACGTCTCATCAAATTGACTCCCAGTTTGATTAGACTCCTGAACTTCTGCAAAAGGTGCCGTTACCCAATCAAAGCATCTCTCTTTAAATTGTTTTGGCATAAGTCATTTCTTCACTTCTAATTCACAATTGCCAAACAATTCTCTCTAGTCTTCTCTCATCTTCCAAAAACACATAATTATCTTCTCTCATCCTCTAACCATCAATGGCTAACACTTCTGAAAATCCCTCATAACCACCCAAAGAATCCATACCTACTCCATCAACCCCACCCTCAACCACACCTATCTCCAAGAAAGGAAGATTCAAGATGCTTGCTTGCAAAGTAGTTGCTGGAGGAGAACAAATCAAGAAAATTAACGAGCAACTGAAGGCAGGTAAGGAAAACGAACCCCAAAAATCTAAAGATTCTTTCAAGTCTGCAACTAAGGGGGAAGAAACTGTTTCTTCTGAAACAGAGCAAGTAATATCTAGGCCTAAAATTACATCTGAAGTAATCTCTGAGGTTACTGTAAATCTGAAAAATAGATTTATTTTGGTAGGAACTGTGGATGAGATAGAGACCACTGAGTCTGGAAAAATTGGTGGTAAAAATAAAAGGAGTAAATAAAAGGAGAGTGAGGGTGCTCAAGGCGATGTGAGGAGAATGAGAAAAGGAGTGGCTAAATCTTCACCCACTCCTGTTAATTTGACTGAAGAAACATGAGCTATGGTAGTATGGAGTGAGGAATCTGCTAGAGAAGAAGAAGAAAGCGTGAGAGAAAAAGGGGGAAGTGGGTCTGGAGAAGCTGCTGAGGGGTTGGTTAGATTGGGGAAGAATATTCAAGAACCTGTTCCATCTTTGCAGGAACCCCTCGAGGACCTACTGAGAAAAGTGTCTGATAGTTACAATCCTAAAAAGAAAAAGGATTTAGGAGTTAAAGTCCCTGGTACTGCTAGGGAAAACAAAAAGAGAAATGCTGCCTCTTCTATCCCAGTAGATACTCCTCCTACAAGAGGAAGTACTACAAGGAGTCAGAAGAAGCATAGTGAGGCTGAACTGGAAAAGGCCCTAGAAGAAAGTAAGAGAAAAGCTGCTGCAAAGGGAAAGAAGAAGGTGGTTGAGCCTGTTGAGGCAGTTGAAATTGAGGAGATGGACCTGGTTCTTCGTGATGAAGAGGAGACAGAAGAAATTGAGGTTGTGACTCTAAAGGCAAAGAAGTCTGTTTCAAAGACAAAGTCACCCTCTACCTTGGCTAAAAGAACTAGGTCTGCCTTGAAGTCCAGAAAAGTGAAAGTAGTGGAAGAAGAAGAAGGGAGTGAAGAAGAATAAGAATCTAATGTAGAGAAAGACAAAATGGTTAAGTTTGAGAAACGAACCATCTTGAAAGGTATACTCCTCAGGAACTTGGAGGAGGAAGGCATGATGCTGCTGCTAGAAAAGTTACAACTGCAGGGTTGGAAGGATTGTGGAGTTTATGGCAAAATGTGAGAGCAAAAATGGAAGAGTCACCATTGTGGTGAAGGGGGTGATAGTGAGTTTTGATGACAAGGAATTGGGAGAGATCTTAGGTGTACCTGCTGCAGGGTACAATGATTACAAAAAACTCAAATGGCTAAGTCTAGAGAATCTCCCTACCTCCCTTGCCATTACAAGAAAGTTTGGTGACAATGAAAAAAAGCTTCAGCCCAAGGCTATATACAAAAGTGAGATGAAGCCTCCCCACAAAGTGCTGTTTGAATTTGTTAACAAAGTTGTGCTGCCTAGGCAGGAAAGGAGGCACATTGCCACATTCATGAACCTGGTCCATATGGAATGTCTGGACAATGGAAGGCAAATCAATTGGCCTGGATTTATCATCCAGCTTCTCGATAGGGTTCTGACTGGCACCAAAGCTCATGCCATACCCTATGGTTTCATTCTCACATCTGTACTTGCACACTTCAAGGTACCCATCAAGAAATGGGAAGTTGGTACAAGCAAAGATCACTTTGGGGCAAACACTTTGACTGTTTTTGACTATGAAGTCCACACCACTCCCAAAGAACCCTATTCATCCAAGAAGGTACCTGTGAACAGCAAAATGCGAGCCTTGGTGCAAGAGAGTGGGGCTAAGGATGCTGAAATTGAAAGGCTGAAGAAGAGGTTGGCAGAAGTAGGAACTGAGAGATATGCTCTCAAAGCTGAGCTTGCAAAGGAAAACGAGAAGAATGGTGGAATTCTTCATGATATGCTGAAACTGCTTCAAGCCAAGAACCTGGTCCTTCCCAGCCTTAAAATCTTCCTAGCCTAGTTAGACAAACCAGTGACCCCGATGGGATTTCTTTTTGATCTTTTTGCTCATGATCCAGTATTTGTATTTCTCTTTATGCCTTATGAATGACTAGTATCAATGATAATCAACTGTTTTTGTGCTCTAACTGTTTGTTGATGCTTCTTAGATGGCTAATATCATTAGATTGATAAATGATGCTTGACTCCATGATTGCATTTGATGTAGCCCCAGTGGCCATGAGTAATTTCTATTACAATCTGGTTATCTAACGTAATTATGTAACTTTTCGATGATGCCAAAAAGGGAAAAATATGTTGTGCTTTTTACTTTGGACTATGATGTTTATAATCTAATGTACCTGGTCTTTGATGATTTGTGACTTTAAAGTGAAAAGTATTCTAACATTGTGTTGATGTTGAGTTGAGTTGACACAGGGCTTATGCTTATGAAAAGCACAGAGTTTGTCATCATCAAAAAGGGAATGTTTATTGGCCCAAGTGAAGTTTGTTTTGATGATTGACAAAGGAACTCAAACATGAAGCAGGTCTATACACAGTGTACACAGACATGGGCAAATTCGAGCATAAGGGATGCATGTGAAAGAGATAAGCTTAAGTTGCTATATCCGATATCACCTGATTGAAAAGGTTGCATAAGTGATAAGAAGAAGCACTCCTTACTCGAGAGAACTCTATCCTAGATAAGGGAGGTGTTAAAAGTTGAAGATAACTAGAACTCTTCTACCATGGAAGAGTATAGTATTAGAACTCTAATTATTTCCTATTCTACTAACTCTATATATTGCAGGATGTTCTCATTCTACATGTACGCATAAACACTGAAGTTAAACTTGAGTTGAGAGCAAAATAGCAAGGCAATTTGCAAGCAATTCTTGTGTGAGTCAAGTTTGCGAATCTGAAGCTACATGAACCAGATAGAAGAACCAGTTCCAAGTATCTGTCTTTTATTCTAGTTCAATTGTATTAGACCTTTTCAAATTGTACCTTTCAGCTTTATCTAGAGGCAATTGTATTAGGTACTCTAAGTATTCAAGTTAGAGTTAACTTGAGGTTGTCGCAACAGTTAGAGGTTGGTCGTCACAACAAGATTAGAGGTAATCCTAGGTTTACAAAGAGTTTTGTAAATGCTGTTTTGGCTCAGTGATTTAGTGAAGTATTGGAGAAAATCCTACTGAGTAGTAGGTCATGATTTTTTCACCTTTTGAGCCGGGTGTTTTCCATGTAAAAATACTTGTGTTCTTTACTTTCCGCATTTACTATTTTCGCAACAGTAGTATAAGGAACACATAGAAGAATCAGGTCCTTGTATAATCAGTGCACGCGCAAATTGGACACCTCACAAATCATGGCATTGAAGTATAAAACATCATTAACTAGGTGTATATCTGAATCTTCAGAAGAAGCTTGGTAAGGAGGATGAAGCTCCAATTTCCAACTGATTCAAACGATTTTTCATATTAAAAACAACAATCTTTAACCACGCTTCATATTTTGTCGCTTCATCTGCATTGAGTTGCTCAATTGATTCTCACCAACCACTCTGTCTAGTTTCTATCATTTGGTCATGGAAACATGTTTGATCAGTTGCGGCGTCTTCTATGGTATCAAACACTTCAAGCCTACTATTGAGATAGTTCACTTTGTTTCGAGCATGAGTCGCAACTAGGCGAGTAATTTCACTTAACTGCGTATTAAGATTTTGAAAACAAGTAATAATGACATTAGCTGTGGGGTGAAAAAAATGAGAAGGGTTTACTGGTAAGAGAAGAAACTATTATTCCAATGTCAACGCCGCATTCTGCAATAAGTTCGCTGGCTTTTTTATATAATCTTGCACGACACTTTGAAAATGTGGCAAAGAGGTCATCTTTCTTTCTATTTTTTTCATTTGAATGTTTTGATGCCCTTTAGTCTTCTTACTCACCATGGCTAAATTTGTAAGAAGAATTGGTAAAAGATTACTGATGAAAATTTTATCGAAAAATCCACTTAGAAGAAGCGCAATGTCGCAATTGTATTTATATACATCAAGAATTTCATCATTATGTTAATTGAATTTATAGCCAAATATTCAAATTGGTTAATCTTTTTATCACAGTGAATATTACAGTAGCAAAATTGCAACCAACTTGATACCACATCAATGAAATCTAAAGTTTTAAGTTAAATAGGTAAATACTCTAAAATACTCATGAAATTGACCAAGTTGGTGCCAGCAAGTATGGATATAATTTGACGGAATACCAACTACATACCAAAGTTTTTCAAATTTTGTATATAAGAAGCAAAGTCAAATTCTTGACTTGCCTTACCAAAAATAAATTTAAAGTTTAACTCAAATATGAAAATATCTTAATGTGCTTACTGAAATTCATCAAGTCAAGATAGACAATCTAAAAATATAACTTGAACAAGTAACTATTTAATGTATTCACTAATTAATTTACCAGGCAATATTTTATGAATGCCAATATGTTGACAGTGCCATTTTAATAAATTGTTTGAACAACGTAACTTTTATGCACTACGTAGAGAGAATCAAAAACCATCAAACAATAGCTTGAAATAAAAATATAAATGGCTTTACGTGTAAGCTCCACACATTTCTTGAATAATAAAATAGCAATCAGATAATTGTAACTCACAGTAATCATCGTTTGAGTTTGGCTATTTTAGGTTAGAGTGTATTTTTATCCAAATTTATTAATTTAATAGGTCCGTTTCACACAAATTAATGTCTAAATCGGAGACAAAATTTAAATAAGTGCGCGAAAGTATCCCTTTATCTGCAATTTTCCCGACCAGCTATTATCTCGGTGTGAAGTACAACAATAGGTCTCAAAGGGAAAAATGCATAAGTACCCTTAATTATGCCCATATTTCCAGTTATATACTTTTTTTTTTGCGAGGGTGCTATTACCCTCCTAAATTATTTTAAAGTAAAATTATTGCCACCTTACTCGCTGACGTGTCACTAATAACCCAACAAATATTGCCAGGTGTTTTGCACGCGCTTTTACATAATTTTTTTTTGTTATAAAACAATAAAAGAATAAGAAGAATATTGCAGAGAAAAGTAGGGAAAGAGAATTCTTATTGATTTGGGATGATTTACAATGGAATAGAACCTCTCTATTTATAGGGAAAAAGTGACTTAACCACCAAGTAACAAACCCCAGAATCTCTCTAAAATATAGACATTCACCTTAAATACAATTCTATTTATAACACTCCCCCCTTGAATGTCTATTCAACAGATAATGTGTCTCATAAAAACCTTAACGAAAACAAAATCCAGTGGAAAAAACTTTTAGTGAAGGAAAAAGAGTACACATATCTAACAATACGCCTTTTGGTTGCCTCGTTAAAAACCTTGCAAGGAAACTTAGTGGGATAAAATCTTGTAAGAAAAAAAGAGTACAACGCGTGTTAACTCCCCCTAATAAAAGAATCAATTCACATCATTAAGCCTTCGCATTCCAATCTTGTGCACTAACTTCTTGAAGGTTGACGTCGACAGAGATTTGATGAATAAATCAGCCATATTAACTCAAATGAATATGTTGCACCTTGAAAATCCTCACTATCACATTATCATGCTTATAGTTATAGCAAGATACATATGTGCACAAATTGCACTTAGGATTGATTATACTTTAAGCAATTTGAATCCTTCAGGGATTGTCATATAAGTTAAGTCATATAAGCCATTTAAATAGACTTTAGATGCATATCAAGTTTTCATGTCATGCTAGACATCTAAGATAGATAAAAGTGGTTGCACACGCCATTGACTTTATACTTTCAAGTGTTTGAACTGCAAGTCCAAAATTATATGTCTTTCATATGAAACTAATTCTACTTGAATCGCTTCTCCTCACTTAAGATCCTCATATATATATATATATATATATTTATCGCTAACATAGATATCGTTGACGAACATTTTATATCGGTTCCAACCTCTCTTTTTTCATAACGACATAACATAGAGATCTCTTCATTCATATCTTCAGGTACCTGAACCTCCTCTGAAA